CTCATTCCATAAGTAAGTAAATAAATCTTGGCAATAAAACCAATTAAATAAGTTTAGACATTTAAACACATGCACACAGAATATACTGTTTCTATGCATGTACTTACACACATCAAGGTTTCTTTTTTTTTTTTTAAACTCAGGTAATGACTTTATTTTTTTCAGTTAACATAACCAGCCCACGGTACAGCATACTAAATCATAAAGTACAAATCCAAGGAAGTTAATACCTTTACTAAGTTACAAAACTTTGGCAAATCAATACAGTACTCTTTAATGAAACCATACTTTTGTTGGAGTCATGTTACTTTAGTGATAATTTTCACTCCAAAAATATTAAGTACCAAATCAAAACACTGGATTTTAATGGTGGTTTATAGCAGAGCAAGTTATTTTACACAAAATATATTTTAAAACTACACAATTTCTCCTTTTAGGTGAATTCCCTTGTGCAAGCTGTTCAAGTGTACAGCAGCAGGGCAATGGGTGTCTATAGGTGGCTCTGCTGTGTTCTGGGGTTGGTCCAAAGTCAGGTGGAGTTCCAGTGTATGAAAAGCTTGAAAATCCTACCTTAAGGAGATTCAATATCAATACTTATTTCCAAGGAATTCTTGTTGAATTTTCACAGAAATACTAGAACCCTCAGAATCAGAGAGTTAATTTCAAACAACATTAATTTCAGATGATTCCTTTTATTTACAGGCCCTGCATCTGTTTTGGTCAAGTCACATAGCCTTATACCGACTTAAAAAAATTACCTAAAATATAGTTGTATTTTTTAAATAACAAATAAATATATAGTCAGCTTAGAGAGACCTGGAGTACCCGAGGTTGCCTATCAAGTTTCACTATCACTTCTCTGCAAATGCTGCTGCAGCCATTGGAGTCTGTTTGCTTCCTCTTGCTGAGGCTGTTAGTTCTTCAATCTCAGCATTTAATTTGTGTATTACCCATTCCATTGCTTCTCGGCCTCTACTAGCATTGGAGGATATCGTACTTGCCATCAATCCTTCAAGGTAACTGCTGAGGCTAACTCCTTTCACAGCAATTATAGCTTCTTGAGTCAAAACAGTTTTTTCTGAGTCCTGAGGATGTGGTTTGTATATAAGCCTCTCACCTACTGGAACCACATTTGTAAATGAAATATTAGTAGATTTAAGTTCCATTGTTTTCTCTACAGGATCAACTACAGAATGTTCTTGCACATATGTTTTTGTTCTTGCTGCACCAATAAGAGACTTCACTATGGAAGGCAGTCCCCACTCTGTGCTGAGAAGTCTGTGGCTGTGCAACTTTCCAGAGGGATCTATATGTCTGTCCAACACATCAACTCCAACCACACTTGGGTTCGTAGGGTTTGGGTATTTCTGCATTGCAGCTGTTGTAACAGTTTCCCACGGGTGGTCAAAGACGTGCTCCGATGTCCAGATCTTCATGGCGCCGGCGGCCTGAGTGATGACCGGGTGGCACCAGGGTACAACTAGGTACGGAGGCTATACCAGCCCCCACCCCACCCCCAGCACCCAAGGTTTCTTTTAAGATGCATTGACGCAAGGCACAGTGGCTCACACCTATAATCCCAGCACTTTGGATTATAGTGCTGCCAAGGCAGGCAGATCACCTGAGGTCAGGAGTTCAAGACCAGCCTGACCAACATGGTGAAACCCATCTCTACTAAAAATACCAAAATTAGCTGGGTGTGGAGGTGGGAACCTATAATTCCAGCTACTCGGGAGGCTGAGACAAGAGAATCGCTTGAACCTGTGAGGCAGAGGTTGCAGCAAGTTGAGACTGCACCATTGCACTCCAGCCTGAGCAACAAGAGTGAAACTCTGTCTCAAAAAAAAAAAAAAAATGCATTGAAATTACTAGGCTTCATTCAAAGTCCTTAATAAAGATTCTTGAGCTTTGTCTTCTTAAGGCAAATTTAATTCTAGAATTTCCATTTTTGTATTCCTCAAATTGTGCTCTAGGACTACATGCATCAAAATTACATGAGAAAGCTTGTTAAAATACAGATTATTGGACCCCACTTTATATCTATTGAATCAGAAACTCTTGGGGAAAGTTCTAGGAATATTGTATTTAAAGCTTTGCAAATGGTATTTCTGCACCCTAAAACATGAGCAGCTCTGTTCTAAAACTTTGGAGAGTTTAAATTGCAATTTCTGAGTTAGTGTCAGATATTATATTTTTCTATCTCTAAAGTAGGATAAAATACTTGTGAATTCTGTGAACTTTTTTGTCATTAAAATGTAATTAGCAATCTTTTTGGGTCATGCTGGTTTGAAGTTCTGTGACAAAGTAGCTATAACCATAGTTAATGAAACAAAGTCCTTTGGATTTAAAAATACTCTAATGAGTATTAATGAATAAGATAGGTAAACTCCATTGTTGCAAACTTTTATGATTATAACAAATGAATCAATATGATTTTATTATAATAGGTACATTGCAAGAACTGATGTGATAATTAAGATCCAACTGAAATTAATCTAGATAGTAAAATTTTGTGAAAACTCATTACAGTTGTGAGTTTTCTTCTAAATGAATAACCTCAGTTCTCCATAAACAAGATTTTATTTCCAATCCAAGACAAGCTATAAGAAGTCAACATATACAATCCAATTCCTCCCACTAGCAATGCTAGAGTTGCTGCTTAGAAAGTCCTTGCATTTTAGAGCCAGAAGAGCCTAAGGGATAGTGAACTTCAGTCCTTCTTACAGATGAAGAGACTGAAGAGCAAATCGCATGATTGACGGCAGAACCAGGAGGAAAATCCTAGGGTTCGGATTGCCTACTCCTCCTCTAGAGTACAAAATTAAATGATTCTTCCTGGGATATCCCTGGTTCTAAAAGATTCAGGGGTAGGTGGGAACAAACTTTTTTTATATAACAGATACGCTACAGAGTTTAGAAAAAAAGTCACATAAACATGAGACTTGAAAGAAACGCCACTCAGTCACCTTGAGTTATTCATTCCTTCTCTCCTCCATTCAAGATACATGGTGGAAATGTTTAAAAATCCCATTGCTTACCCCAACTTCCCTACCAAAATCTGACAAAACTAAAAGCAAACAGAAAACATGACCCCAAAGCAGTCATGGATAATTACTTTATACATATCCAGACAGATCCAGCATGGTTGAGAATAAAGCAAGTGAGGCTGTTAAGCTCTTCTCAGATAATTTACTGAGCATCTACTACAAATCTGGGCCTGGGTTTCACTTATTCACTCTGTTATTCAACAGATACATACAGAACACCTACTAAGAGCTAGAAGCTATGACATGCTCAGGTGATAATAAGATGAACAGACAGGAGAAAGCAGAATTAAACCCATAATTACAGTGTGTTAGATTACAGGCTGTAGAACCAGGTGTTATGGCCACAACTACTCAACTAGGTTGAGTCAGAGAAGATGCAAAGTGGAAATGACATTGGACTGAGTCTTGAAAGACAATCAGGAATCTATCTAATGGAATAACGGAAAAGGAAGAGAAAATAATGGGAACAGCCCATGCAGAGGTATTAAAGGGTGAGGAGTCATCAGATAAGCAGTTGATGAGAGGATCCACAGAAAACAACACTATAGACATAAGCATTGTTTTTGTGCCATCTAGCATAATATGAGCAAAGCCAAACGAGTTTTTAAAATAATAATAATCTACCCTACTTGAGCAAGAGACTGTAGAATGGTGAATGAGGGAGCCCACTCTTGAAAGCTGGCTTCAGAATGAAAGAAATCTATTATGTTTCCTCTCTTTAAAGCCTCAGATGCCTTCCCAGCTTTCAAAGCCCTCCTCTTCCTGCAAAACTGCTAGGATTTCTAGAATCCAAACAGATTCCTTGGAAGAAAGGAATGGTCAAATCAAAGAGGGGATATTATGCATTCCCATGATTACCATAAAATTTTGTCTCCCTTCTAAGTCCCTTGGTATGTAGATCACATAGCAGTTTTTTACAATGGTGAGAGATGGTAAGTGATAGACATGAGTTCCGGGTTTTACTACTTAAAAACCATGTGACTCCAGGGAAGCCACATACCTCTCAGGACATTTTTCTCATTGTAAACACCCTGCTAGTTCAATGTGGAGCTTAGACATGACGTGAGGCAGAGCACCTGCTACAAGGTCTAGCCTATCCTGGGCCTTCTATGGGGCAACCGCTAACAGTATTATGCAGTTTCATTCATTCATTCAACAAATCTTTACTGAGGACTTATCCCGTAGAAGCCAGAAGGAATATAAAAATAAATCTGAATTGGATTTTGCTGTCAGTGACCCCCCAATCTATAGAAGAGATACAGGACTTTATACTATAAGGAAGAAAGCACCTACCACCAAGAGAAATTACTGGGGTAGGAGGGAGGATGGGAAGTGATTACTCGTAGAGTGGAGGGATTTGGTAAGAGAGAAGGGGAAAAGATTAGGGGCCCAGGATAAAGGAGAGGAGAACTGCCTGCGCTGGGCACTCTTAGGCCTTCTGCTGTGGGTATAGCGAGTATCTATCAGACGCTTTCACAGATGAAATAAAAGCGGTTTCTGGAAGTATCAACTCACTCAACTCAGAACGCCCCACCTCTAATCCAAAACATATGTGGAGCTTAGACATAATGTGAGGCAGAGCACCTGTTACAAGGTCTAGCCTATCCTGGGCCTTCTATGGGGCAGCCGATACCAGTATTATGCTGTTTCAATCATTCATTCAAGATATCTTCACTGAGGACTTATCATGTAGAAGCCAGAGGAATATATAAATAAATCTGAATTGGATTTTATTGTCAGTGACCTTCCAATCTATAGAAGAGATACAGGACCAAGCCAAATAAATCTCTCTGCCTCCTATAGCGAGGACCATTTGCAGATGGTACGGGACAAGACAAGGGAAAGTAGCAGGAAGTAGGTGATGGGGTCACTGGGCACGCAGATCGAGGCAGAGCAGACTCAGCGGGGTGCGCGGTAAGAGGGGGAGGGCAGGGGCGGGCCGGCAGGGAAGGGTGTGTGGAAGGGCAGGTCAAGAGGCGGGGAGAGGAGTGCGGGCCGCACTCTGAGGCGGTCCAAGACACTGGCAAGCCGCAGAAGCCCAGTTCGCCGGCCATGAAGCAGCCATTGCTGGCGCTGCAGCTGCTGAAGCTGCTGCTGCTGCTCCTGCTGCCGCTGCCGCCGCTGCCACGAGCGCTGCGCGAGGCGCGCTGCTGCCCTGAGCCCTGCAACTGCACGCCCGACGGCGCCCTGCGCTGCCCCGGCCCCGGGGCCGGTCTCACTCGACTGTGAGTACACAGCGCTCCCGTCGCGGCCCCCTCGATGCAGGACCCTCAGTCACTCTGTCTCGCCTTCCCTCCCTTCTCTTGTGGCCCCCTTTCCCTGGAAGCTTGGAGAAAGACGCTTTGCCCTATCAAATTTCCCCCACGTTTTAGGGTGATGAGAATTCAAAGCTTGGTGGTTGTTTTTGCAACCCCATACCCCTGAGAGCCCCGGCCCCGGCTCTTTCCCCCTGGGTAGGGCTGCGGCTTGGAGAGTAGAACTATTCAGGAGCCTCAGGAGAAGGCCTGCTGTCTGCCGCTGCTGGAAGGAAATATGGGTGTGATGCTCCTCAACCAGCAGCTGTCTCTGCCAGAGAAGTCACAGGCCTTTGAGCCTTGGGCCAGCCACGTCAGGGAAGATGGATGTGGGCTCTCGCACCCTGTGGTCCTCTAGGAATGGAGTGCTCAGGCCCTATGGCCAAGGGTGACCTAATCTGTCAACTGGAACTGCTGGCGCGGTCACACAGGCCTCTTAGCATACAAGCCGCTGCTCCACCGGGCCAGATGTGCTTGCACTCGAGTATCATTGTCAAATGGACCAAAGGCCCCGTGCCCAACCGCCGGACCCCATGCACCACCACCACCACCTCCACACTCACAGGCCTGATTGAGGGATTGTATACACCAGCAAGCAGGTGGAGGGCGTTCATTCCAGAGTGATGAGGTCAAGAGGAGAAGGGGAGCCTTTAGTGCTACTGTATCAGGATGTCATCAGGTCTCCTTTCTCCCATTTAGAAAAAAAAGTACCACATATCTTATAATCCTATTTACATGAAATGTCCAGATAAACTGAAAGTAGATTAGTAGCTGCTGGAGGTGAGGGAGTGGATGGGTGACTACAATCAATGGGTATGGGGTGGGGGGTGATGAAACTTTTGTAAAATTAGATTGTAGTGACGATTGCATGTGAACATATTAAAAAACCATTGCATTGTCCTCTTTAAATTGTACAGTATAGGATTTACATCTCAATTCTTTTCCTTCAAAGGAAAAAAAAGAAAAAAAGACAAGAATATCTAAAAGGCTTGTAGAGGTCTTGATCATCTCCTAACAATTAGACATGATGGAATTCTGTGCTGGGGAAGGAAGGAGACCACCCGCTCTGCCATTTCCTTTGAACCCCCAACAGCCTGTTTCATAGAGGAGGCTCACCCTCCCTAACCCTCTCAACCACAGTCATTCCCAGAAGGCCAGGCTTCTTCCGGTGGAAAAGTTAAAGGCCTGCTGGGAATGATTGTGGTTGAGAGATACAGTTTAAGGGTTGAGGGATTTATATTAATTAGTTTCCATTAATTATCTTGTCAGCTCCATTCCCTGAAGGAATGGACCATGCTGATAGAATTTGTTTCCATCAATTCACAAATCCATAGCGCAGGCCTTGCAAGTTCCAGCCCTGGTCCATCCCCGATAAGCTGCCGTGTTGCTCCTATGAATGACTGTACCACTAGCAGACTTTCTCACTTGCCTGCTGCTTATCATGCAGATTAGAAAAAACTGAGATCCAAAGGGAAGGAATAACTTGCTCAAGGTCCCACAGCTTTTGAGTCGCAATTCAGGATTTTATCTATTCATTATCTTTTTATATTTGCTTGTCTTTGTAAGAAAACGACTGCTTTCTTAATAAAACACACACACACTCTCTTACACACTCAGTTTCTCCAAAATTAGTACTAAGTGAAGAACTCCCATTGGGGGCATGATTGGGTGGGCCAAGCCCCAGGTCCTTTTGAATTCAGCTTTTCAGTGAGAGAGATCTCTTAAGGGCTCCTGCTGCCACGTGCTGTTCTCAGGAGGGGACCCCTTCCCTGGAAAAGGCTGAAGTTAATTTTAAAAAAGTAATAATAATACTTTCTCCTGCTGCCTCCCCGCAGGGTTTCAGGAATCCTAGAACCCCTCAGAAATATTTGGCAGGGCTGACTAGGTTTGGGGGTGCAGAGGCGCTAGGGTCGGTCAGTCGTCGCTGTCCGAGGTGTGCCTTGGCTTTGTCTCGCAGTCGCTGCCGCCTCGTACCTGCCTCCGTGCCCCCCGCCTTGGCTCCTGCCCAGCCGCTTTTCCTGTCCTCTCCCCTTAACCACCCCCACGGTTTCTGCCATCGGGGCCCGGGGTCCGGGCAGATGATGACCTCGGAGAGCGGAGCTGAGCTCGGGGATGGGGCAGCTGTGCAGGTGGGGATGGCTGCGGCTACGGCGGTGGCCACGGTAGCCCCGGTAGGCGGCGGCCCGGACCCGGAGGCCTTCTCGGCCTCCCCCGGACGGCACCTGAGCGGGCTGAGCTGGCCACAGGTGAAGCGACTGTACGCTCTCCTGAGCGAGCCGATTCCCATTCACGGGCGCAGCAATTTCCCCACGCTGAGCGTGCAGCCGCGGCAGACCGTGCAGGTGGTCCGCAGCAGCCTGGAGGAGCAGGGACTACCAGCATCCACCAGGAATATCCTCTGCCAGTAATTTGGCCTCCTTAGCCACGCATGCTGATCCTCATCAGGTTGCATTGCCTGAGTACCAGACAGTTGAGAGATGCCCTCATCTTTCAAGAGATGCCCTTGTCACTCTGTGGACGTTGAGCCTATGCAAGCCAAAACAGGATGACTTTTGGCACAACGTAACAACATCAACATCCATATGACGAGAGAGGTGCATGTTAAGCGAAGAGAGGGTTGTTACTTTAAGGCAACATTTCTCTAAGTATGGTCCTAGCCCAGCAGTGTGAACATCACCTGGGAAATGTTAGACTGCATATTCTGAGGCCCCAGCCCCAACCTACTGAATCAGAAACCCTACTGGTGGGGTCCAGTAGGCTACATGTTAACAAGCTCCCCAAGTGATTCTGATGCATACTAATGCTTGAGAACCAAGGCACAGCTCTCCAGGGAGACAGGAAAAAGTATACTTTAAACGTCTTTGTGCCATACACTTCCCTTCCCCATCCCCCCAAAGCATGTATAACATCTATTTATTGCAAAATGGCAAAAATTAAAATCCTAAATCCAGAGGCAGATGGAAAATAAGCAGAATTGAGGAAGATTATTTTTTCGTCAAAGATGACTGGAAGAAGGAATCCATGGAGGGCAGACTGAAGATCTAGGGAATGAGGAAAGATTAATGATTGTTAGAGTCAGATCTCAGTGGGGGTAGGAGGAGAGCATCAGTCTAACAACATAGGGGAAATGTTAATCTTAGAACAAATAAGGATAGTTTTGAGTCCTGAGGGAAGAAGACCTTTGGGTAAAGAAATAACTCAATATTAAGGCAAAGAACAGGAAAAGTGGACAGGTTCATACTGAAATCCTCTTTTCTTGATGGTGAATGCATGAAATGATAAACAGTAATCATGCCACAGAAAACTGCTATAAATGGTAAGTTATCAGTTCATTAAAAAAAAGAAATCTTAAATTATGAGATAAGGCTTCCAAGAGAAGATGATGTGGTCTTGCACTAAATTATTATAGACTTTCCCTCTGCAGAGAGAAGGGGAGCACTCCAAGTTCTCAGGGTTGGAGGAGGCAATTCCACAGAGCACCTTGGAATTCAGCATCAACCCCTCAATAGTTTATGCTTTAGTCATTTGGGCCCCTAGTAACCTAAGACCTTCATCTAAAGTTCATTATTTGGTTTAAGAAGAAAAAAACCCAAGGTACATGGATTATAACTGCTTATCACTGACAAGCCCACTGCTTACAAATTTTGAAAATGGCATCATCCAAATCTTTCCTCCCCGTTCATATTTTATGAAAAACATAGGTATTTAAAATAAAAAATGTGATTTAAAAAAAATGGCCTCCCACATTTCACTTGTTTTAATTGGGAAAAAAAAGAAAGAAAAAAATTGATTTAAAAAATTTCCTCTCCTTTCTTATTAGTTCTAGGCAACTGCAAAGAGGAGAAGAAAAAACTCTCACCTTGCCCACAGTTATATAAAGATCTTTGTCTCTATGACAACAGAAAGGTTGATCTGCTTGATATGGAAACAGCTTCTGAAAAATCTGTTAGTAAGAAAATGCTAATAATAATTATGGAAATTTATTTTTTTTTCATGTTGTACCTACTGAACAGAAATTAAACTTTCAGACTTTGTTATAAGACATAATCCAGAGGCTTTGGCAAGATACTGGCTTGGTGCAAAAGTAATTGCTATTAATTTCAATGGCAAAAACCACAATTACTTCTGCACCAACCTAATACAATGTTCATATCAATCCAGTGTTACTCTTTCCTGACATCTTTTTTGAGTGTCTTCCTCTTCTTCTTGCCTGCAGTGTAAATCAGGGTCCAAAACAATGTTCGATGCCATAGAGGGATGTACATGTAAAGGCTGTGGTTCCTGTCCCTGAGGAGCCCATGATCTCTGTGGAAACACATCCCCAAGAGACTGGTGTAGGTGTAGAGAGAGACAGCAGGGTCCAAGGAATTCAGAGAACGAATTAATCACTATGAATGGAAATCTCCAAGGGAAGGTTTAATGGGCCACGTTTTAAGAAGCTTTAAAGAGGAGTCTTGGTGGAAGAACCACAGGTTAAAGTCAACTAGAGATCCCTGCTGAGAAGCAAGGAACAAGGTTGAATAAATTCTTCCATCTGTATCCCTCTCCCAGGCTTTGGGGGGAAATATTTTTTCAGAGAAGACATAAAGTTATTAGAGAGCTTTGATTACCCAGAGGTTGTGCCAAAAATAAAAAAGAAAGAAAAATCCCAATATGGAGTTCTTGACTACTAAGCTTTCAATGAAAGTCATTCTTTGATGATTCGTTGCAAAGGCGGTAAGTAAAAACCATGACTAGGAGTCACTTCCCCATGAAGCCTTACCTGATGCCCACCGCCCCAACCCCACTCCACTTCCAGCTGCCCCCTCCACATAGTCACTTCAATATCCTGGGCTTACATGTATTTTTGCACATATCCCACCATAATGCAACCATTTGTTCAACATGTGCCTCTTCCGCCAGAGCAGGTTTCTAAATCTTAATAATATTGA